ACTCGATGACGCTTGGCCGCAGCACCTTGAAAATCATGCCATCAAAATGAGCATTGCTCAATGCATATGTAGACATGGGCGACCAATGAAAAGTTGATTTTTTGGCATCTTTGACACGGTTTTAAAGTCATATACGTTTTTCAACGCGTGATAAACCGCGTCCAACGTCGAATGACGCGCGCCTGTTTCTAATCGAATATATGCACTTGGGGTGTCTCTTGCCCGTGGCCGCGTCAGCGCGACGCGATGGACGCGTTTTTCCCATGTCATTCGCCGTTGAAATTAAATCTAAAATGGCGAATTGCTCATCAATCAGCAGACCAGTCCCGCTCATTTTTGGTGTTTTTCGTGGTTTCTCCATGCGGTGACTCTTGTGCTAAAGTTTGACGCCATTCTGGGAACCTGATGTTTGGATTTTGGTTTGTGAGACTCGCCGCGCCTAAATTTTGATTTACCCAAGGTGGGTGAATGGCGCAGCGATCTGAGGACCTAATTTTTGCATTTTTCATCTCCTTGGCTGCATCATCCCTTGGAAAATCCTTGTTTTCAAAAAAAAAAAAAAAAAAACATGATATCGCGCGATTCAGTGGTCGTGGCACCTCAAGAATGGGCTCATTTAAGCGAGGCCATTTTGAATGAGTCGGATGAACGTGCTGACGTCTTTTGTAAATTCATTGACAAATTAGCAAAACACACAAAAAAAAAAGGCCGTTTTCTTTGCAACGTACAGTGCCAATTGACACATACAACCCCAATGAACAAGTGCAGGATGGATTGATTTTTATTATTAACACACTAAATTGACATGATCACTCCTCCTCGTCACCCACTTGTTCTTCTTGATACTTTGGCAAAATCCAGAAATAATAATTGTCATCGCGATACGTGGAGAAACCTGGCGCAAGCACCCCGAGGTATTTGTGGATTTGCCTGAATGAAACCAAAAAAAAAAAAAAAAAAAAAAAAAAAACATCAGTCTGTATTCAATTGGCTCGCTTTTTCAAAACTTACGACATGCCTTGCTTTGTTGATGGGAACCAGAAATCTCGCTCACGGACGTCAAGATCAAGGCCGCGCACAACGCGCTCAACGCACTTTTGGAAACACACGCTCGCGGGGGCGTCAGGATTTGTTCGGAACTTCCATGGACCGTCGCTGCAATAATGACGCCAAAGCAAACGACCGACGCGGTCCTTGTTCCATGGGCGCAAGTTGCGAAACGATTCGTCCACTTGGTGGCCAAGGTGCTCCAGCGTGTTTTTGAACGCAGCAAAGTATGTGCTTTCGCCGCTTTTCAAAATCTTCATGTCCGAAATGATAATGGGCTTGTTGTCGCGGTCCTTGAGGTATTCCTTGGTGGCCATGTTCTTGATCAAAATGCCGCGCGTCGTCACCGCAGGGTCCACATGGAGAAAATAATCGCCTTGGGGCACAAGACTGCTGGTATAAAGGCCATCACGCTCGCTTTGCACTTCATCGTCAATCAAAACACGGAACTTGGTAACGTGATTCTTGCCAATCGACACCTTGGCATCCAAAAAGAATTCAAAAGCGTCCTTTTCATTGACCTTGAGCGGCGCCTTGCGCTTTTTCTTGCTCGACTTTTCCAAAATGTCCTTCAGCCAATGGCGCTTGAGCAATTTCTGCGCCTCTTCGGTCTCGTAGCTGCTTGGGTCGTCAGAGTCCATGCCAAAACGCTTGCTGAGGCTCTTGTAATATGTGACCTGACGGCTGCTCAGCGTGTCTGTCGGTGGGCTCTTGGAGACCTTGGCCTCGTAAATGGTCGTGTGCAAAATGTCGGCGCCCTTGCGCAGACCAAGGAGCCATGCACCCCATTTTTCTTCATCGGCATACAGCGGATGGACGCGCAGCATCGGCAGGTTCAAACGTCGCAAGTACGCACGCTGTGCAGCGCGCTCCTCAGAATTCTCAACACCTTGAGCAACGCCAATCAAGTCCTGCTGCTGCTGCATCCGCTTTTTATTGCCCGCAACGACCGCCGCAGCCTTTTCCTCCGTTGGAGCGCCAGCACGCGACTTGGTCTTGTCCGCACGACCTGAAAAAAAAAAAAAAAATGAAAAAAAATGAGCTCGTGTTTTTTTTTTCCTTTTCTTTTTCTTTTACCTTTGCAAATACTTGAATACGCTGCAGAATAGGCCTCGTGTGCTTCCTCCAGGCGCTCGCCAAGACCACTCGCCTTTTCAGCCACCTCCCAAGCGGCGTAGATTTCTTCACATTGTGAGCGAGTCATCAAAGGGATGCCGCCAGCCGCCGCCACAATCTTGTCCGCACACGCCTTTAGCAGCGCAACACGAGCCCAAAAGAGCTGAATGAATCGCAACGTAAGCACGCAGCCAGAGCCATACTTAACATTGCCGGGATCGACGCAAGGAAGAACGATGCAATGCAAGTCTTGCGGGACTTCATCGGCGGGTGAATGCAGATCAAAATCGGCATCTTCGTTGACGATCACGGGCGTCGCCATGGATGCATTGTAAGAGCCATCAGGGAGACCATACCTAAGCAAAAAAAAAAAAAAAAAAAAGAAAGAAAGAAAGAAAGAAAAAAAATCGTCAAGCTTGTCGTCGTGCTCGTTGTTGTGCTTCTTTTTTTTGAGACGCTTACGTGTTTTGGAATTGGCCATAAGCGACCTTGGTGGGTAGCTCGCCAAGACACGGCACAATGACGGGCTTCACGGCTTGAATCACCTTGGCAGCAGCGTAAATGTCGGCATCGAGATATTTGTGAACAAGGGTGCAGTGCAAGTCAATCATGGGAGGCAGGTGGAAGCGGGTATCCTTGTCGTTGGTGCCATAGACCTCCTTGATTGCGTCGCTCGTCAGCTTGCCTGAGCGAGATTGATCAAAAAACTTGGTGGCCTGCGTTGCGTTCTGATGCGTGATGTCTTTGCCTAGGATGAGGACCGTGGAGCGGCGTGGTGGCGCGTCGTTGTAGATGCCCAAAGCTTGTTCAATGGTCATGTCGAGCAAAGCTGGCTGCTTTTTCATGCCAAAGGGGTGCGACGGCGTTTCATAGATGGCCTTGAGTTTTTTCTTGAGCAGGTCAATCTCGGCCACGTCGCGCACGCCCAATTGATCGGTCAATGGCAGGTTCAAGCCGCGAATGCACTCAACGTCGTCATCCAAAGGCAAATACGAGCTGTACAGACCACCAGGCTGCGAATTGAGCAAGCATCCGCGATCAAAAAGGTGCACGAGGAACTGTTCCGTGGCATCCACCAACTCATCGCGCTTGGGATCAGTCTGGGGCAATGCAACTTGCAATTCAGGCAATTCAAAAATGGCCATATCGGTGGAGCGATTGGGGAAGAGAGAGTCGACAACAGAAATCACATTCATGTAGCGCGACTTGATGACTTTTTTGCGGCCAATGGCGCTTGGGGCGCGGACGACGTCGGCGCGGTCCTCTTGCTCGCGCTGTGCCGCCGATCGGGACGTGCAGCCAACGTATCGTAGCCACACAGGCTCATCGTCGCCCATGTCCGCTAGCTTGGCGCGCCACGCAGCCACAAATTCAGGATCGTGATACAGGCGATCATAGCCATCCATAATCGCGCGCAATTCTCGAGCCACGAAGGCCAATGAGCGCACGTAAAAGTTCGTAATTGACGAGCGCGAAAGGAACACGGGTTCCTTGACACACTTCTTGAGCAAAAACAAAAACGCCATGCCATCGTCATTGACAGTCGCGCTATCATCCGCAAAATCCATCAAGTAATCGAGGAAGTTGTCATCATCCTTGCGTCGTGCCAGCTTGTCCAGAAACACGGATGGGTCAATGGGCGCTTTCAAACGACTATTTTCAAGACGCTTCTTGATCAATTCACGAAGAGGATGCTTAAAAGACATGGGAAAAAAAGGGGGGAGAAAGAAAAGCGAAAAAAAAAAAGAGGAATTGGCATGAAATGGCCATCAAAATTTTTAAATTATACACAATGAGCCAGTCGTGCGTCACTTTCAATTTTTTTCACGCTTGCTTTTAGAATTACAGTGCCACGCTAGAAATGCCATTGAGCATCTTCATTCAAAAATCGAGATGAATGCGTCGCTTCCTGCGTGCCTGGTTCTCAACGCGTCGTTTTCCTGGCTCGCCAGACCCATCCTTGCACAACAAAAAAAAAAAAAAAAAAAAAGTTGGGCCCAAGGGAGGACGAGAGGATGCACTTTCAACATTCTAAAACGGGGGCACATCAGGATGGAAAAAAAAATGACGAGGTGATCCCCATCACCTTGCTCCTTTTCGTATGTCCTCAATGTCAATCGCATCATGTCGGAGCTCAAAATGGCACAGACGCGACGGCCCCTACCCGCCAATGGCCCAAATCTCAGTGGTTTTCACACGCATTTCTAGCCTTTTTGCTTTGGTTGGCCACAAAAATGTGCCACAACCTCCATCGAAGAATTTTCGAAACAAGCCCGACCTCAAAAAAGGCACGGACACGACGAAATTGGCCGGCTGCGACGCTAAAACACGCGTCATCCGGATCATTTGCGTGCCCAATAGATGCTTTTTGCATTGAGTGACCACAAATGGCCCCATTGACACATTCTCAGCCAATATCGGGCCCCAAATAGAATCAAAGTGGTCAAATCGGCCACTGCCGCCGCGGCTGGTTTCTCATTGTTTTGTTTGGTTGACCACAAACACGCGCCATTGTCCCGCTAAATGACCTAAAATGGCTGTGGCACAGCAAAAATGGTCAATGCAGCGCCTAAAGCCTCGTCTTAGTGAATTGCGCACATTTTTCTATTGAAGCACCAAAAACTACAAGTCGCGCTTTAAAAAAGAAAATCACGCACCGAAATCGCGCATTGTGGCCGCGGCAGACGCCTAATCTCGCCCATTTGTGTATCATTCAAAAGCCGCTAATTAGTCATTTTTGATTTTTCACATCCTAAAGCGAAAAATCAATTAAATGTAGGAAAAAAATATTTTTGAATTGCCTTTTGAGAATCTCAGATGTTCTGGAATCGTAAGAAGCCGAGGTAGCTCAGTTGGGAGAGCGATAGACTGAAGATCTATAGGTCAGCAGTTCAATCCTGTTTCTCGGCATTCATTTTTTGCACTTTTTTTGGGTGTAAATTTTTTTTTTTTGCGATTTTTTCTTTTTTTTTTTTTTGCATCTTTCCCGTGCCTTGTTTGTTGTCTCTCTGTTGCTCTCTCTTTCCTTTTTTTACGTGTGTGTCGACTTGAGTGTCGTGTGCAAAGTGAAAATGCAAAAAAAAAAAAAAAAAAATAGGACAGAGATGCAGTGCATTGGGTCCAAGCAGAGCCACTAATCAGCCATACTTTTTTCGCATTGAGCAAGGTGCATGTTGAATCGTCCCAGGTGATGCTTATTTAGCAGTATGATTGGTTTTGGCATCATGATCATTATGATGATGAGCGCAACAAGGAGTATTCTGCAAGGCACTCGATCAGGCATGGACGCGATTGTGCCAGCACACCGGAAAGCCGTACTTGCCTTATTAGGCATGTGCGTGTGCATCTTTTAAGTGCTCGACGCGCACGTCCACTGCATGTACAATGACGATCTGCAGCTCCAAATCTAGATTTTCTCGAGAGAATTACCATTAGTCATTGCACAGCATGCGACAAATAGACGACCAAAGACGTATGCAATGGAGCTGTTCTGGTGCGCATCATCTTTCAACAATCACATGGATGGCAAAATGGCAGCCATCGTGTCAAGTGTACCAAAAAAAAAAAAAAAAAAAAAGGATATACTGTTTTCGGTATCTACGTAGCCGCGCGGCATTTTGTGATTTTTCACATGACATGCATAGCTACAATAGGTGCTGCAGTCAATCGTGGCAAAGTTTGCCTTGATCGTGTTGATAGCATTTTCTTCCAAAGCCAACCAAAAGTCGTTGTTTTCGGTTTACTGTATTTCACTCTTGTCTTTGAATGAGGCGCGTCTGCCGAGTGATTCAATATGATAATGTGGCGCTTGGAATATTGTTGATTGTACCCCGCCATGAAATAATGATTGTGTGCATTCCATTAGCTGTAGCACTCCGAGATGGGGTTCATTCCAACGAGACTACTTTTGATTCATTGGCACAAGAGGCCCATGTCCTGTAAATTTATAAAGTAATGTGTATCTATTACCGCCAGGGTATTGTTGGGCGCGCTTCGCCACATTTGACCATGAGAAAAATAGAAATGTGCAAAAAAAAAAATCGTGCCAAACGCGTCACACGAACCAAAAGCGCGTCAATAGCGTGTCGTCAACGCTCGCACGTGACACGCGATCCATACGTCAAAGTGTACAAAAAAAATTCAATGAGACACTGAAAATGGCGATTGTAGTCGTGTTTGATAAAGCGAATAGTATATAAAATGCACGACACGCGTGTGACTCGATTCATGATGCTTTTGGCAAACCGGTGCCGCAGCCGCCCCTCCCATGATGGTGAGATGTGTGTGTACGAGCGGCGCACCGAGCGGCCAGGCATACACAAGGCGCAAAGGGGACATCAAACGGCTTCAATTGCTTTCCTATTTTGATACGTGACAGGGCACAAAGAAAGGCGAACGAATACGATGTCAGCGACCGAGGACAGCGTGACCATTGGGCTGTAAAAGACAATTGTTTTCGAAATATGCCTTCTTTTGACGCAAGGGCCAAGTTGGCGAAAACGCGCCGCAGTGTCAAAAGTCATATCTGCAGCGAGAGCAGGACATGATGCACGTTTCCATCATTGAAACTACAAAGGGATTAGGCAGCAATTTGCCGTGAAATATCCGGCTCGTTTTGCACGATTTGCGATAGATGATGGCACGTGATAGGGATGTCGCGGGAATCCAAGTCTAATTTTTCGACGCGGCCCCGTTTAGTCCTTTTTTTTTTGAAAATCAGTCCAGGTTGCTCAAATCAGCGTTTACAGCCGCGAAATTGGGCTCATTCGGCGCGCCTCGTCGCACTTTCTTGCCGTGTGCTCTTTGGAAGCAAACGAAGTTTGAAAAAAGCGAGGAGTGTGCTCTGCTGTGCTCCTCAATGTTTACCTGATGCCTCCCTATTTTTTTATGGTTTGATTTTCCCCGCTATAAATAAGATGGACTTTTTAAAAACGCCCTCAGGGTCAATCATGTTATATGCACATGCCCCTTTTTTGATCGATCGATCGCCCTTTTTTGGATCAGTTCCATTTTTGTCACTTTAAAGAGGAGGATTGTCATTAAAAAGGAGCAAGTACAATAAGGCAATGAGGAGCGGCTAATTGACGGCTTGATTTAGAGTCGATATTCGGGAGATTGCCGTTGATGCGTCACTGCTAGGCAGCAGTACATGCATTATGCGCATGCTCCTTTTGTTTCCACGTTTGGGGTCCTGCAAAGCAGAGTTTACTCCTCTTTTTTTTTTTTTTTTGCCCCTGATCATAGAGATTGAATTATTTTTTGGTTCGCCTCATTTTATGACGCTTTTCTTTTTCATTTTCTTCTATTCATTATGCAAGCACAACTGGAAAACAAGACGAAAGCTTATTTTACTGATCGTACGCCTTCCGGACAAGGCGTCATCAAGGACTTTTTTGAGCTCAATTACGACGCATCCATCAAAGTGCGCTTGTGTGACAATGACTATTTGAATCTGGCCAATCACCCGGAGGTACTGGAAGCGCAAATCAATCATATTAAGAGTTGTGCCCAGCGAGACATTGTCATGTCATCCTTGTTCCTGGCAAGTCAAGATGTCCATGGACAGCTGGAGAAGGACATGGCCGAGTATTTTGGCAAGCAATGCGTTCTGACACAATCTGGCTATGCAGCCAATGTCGGGCTGATGCACGCGTTATGTGATTCCTCCACACACGTTTATGCTGACCAAATTCTCCATGCATCGTTTCGTGATGGCCTAAAGGCACAAGGTGCCATGGTGCACCGCTTCCTTCACAATGATGCAAAAGACCTGGAAGCCAAGATCAAGGAGCATGGTCCCGGAATAATTATTGTCGAATCAGTCTACAGCGTGCCAGGCGATTTTGCACCCATCCACGACGTTGTGCGATTGAAGCATACCTATGGATGCCTTCTTGTGGTGGACGAGTCGCATTCTTTGGGCATTTTTGGAAGAAGAGGCCTGATGTACGAGGAAAATATCGACAAACACGTGGATTTTATTACAGCAAGCCTGGCAAAAGCTTATTGTACCCGTGCTGGGATCATCATTGGTCCTCATTCGACATTTATCAAAGAAAAATCGTATCACTATTGTTTTAGCTCGGCATTAATGAGGGAGGACATCATACGAATTCGCGAGATTTTCAATGTGGTACAAAAGGCGGATGCAAATCGCGCTAATCTAATGGCCAAATCTGAAATGCTGCGCAATGCTCTCCAGCCCATGGTCCTTGAAATGCCACGCCCATCGCCTATCATCTGCTTTCGCTTTAAATCGGAACAAGACATGGACAAATTTCACCGCTATTTGACACAACAGGGCATCCTTGCTGCTCCTTTTTGCCATCCTGGGTCCCCTAGGAATGCTCCTCTTCTTCGAATGACGGTTCACTCGGCCTTATCAACGGAAGATGTTCAAATGGTCATCAGGGCCGTTTTGACATACAAAAACAAGCTTTGATCCGAATCGTCATCCCAAACAAGTTTGCACACACTATATGCTTATCCTATGTAATATTGAAATAAAAAAAAATATTGGTCTACGTATATTTGACATTGACCGGATCTCTGCGACGCCAACAATCTCAAAAGTCATTTTGCCCCTTTTGATGCGTTTTCTCGGCATAGCTTGATCCGATGCGCATCAAACGTGCTCCACGTGTTTTTGGCGCTCATTAATCGCGTGCTATGCAAATAAAACATGGTAATAGATAAGATCAATCTCGGGAAAATCGCGATTTAGAGCTGTGGATCACTTTGGAGCCTCATTGCGCGTGTCGTGGGCACGAGACTCGAGGATCGAGCAATGCGCGTGCACCTTCCTAATAAGGCAAATTCAGCTCTGTGGACTACATAGGGAAGTCTCTTCGAATGTTGCAAATGCATCCTAGGATTGTCCCTGTCGCATTCGAGATAATGTCGATGCTTACATCATCTGTCAATAAGCTAGATAAAGCCCACTTGAAATGATTCAACGTGCACCTTGCTCAATGAGAAAAAAGATGGTTGCCCAGTAGCTGTGTTTTGATCGAATGCAAAGCTGTATTTTGCTGCCTTGCATCTCGGTCCATCTTTTTTTTTTTTTTTTATATTTTCAAGTTCCACACGACACTCAAGCCAACACGCACGTAAAAAAAAAGAGAGAGCAACAGAGAGACAACAAACAAGGCACGAGAAAAGATGCAAAAAAAAAAGGAAAAAACAGCAAAAAAAAAAAATTTACACCCAAAAAGTGCAAAAAATGAATGCCGAGAAACAGGATTGAACTGCTGACCTATAGATCTTCAGTCTATCGCTCTCCCAACTGAGCTACCTCGGCTTCTTACGATTCCAGAACATCCAAGACTCTCAGAAGGCAATTCAAAAATATTTTTTTTCTTGCATTTAGTTGATTTCTCGCTTTAGGATGTGAAAAATCAAAATGACTAATTAGCGGCTTTTGAATGATACACAAATGGCCGAGATTAGGCGTCTGCCGCGACCACAATGTGCGATTTCGGTGCGTGATTTTCTTTTTTAAAGCGCGACCTATTTTCCAGTTGTCAATTGGGGCCTGGTGCGTTCTGGTAGCTGGTGACCAGGCTGGATTTTACATGGATCTTGCCATCCCTGCAGCGTACAAACTCATAGACAAACCACAAAAAATACAATAAAAAAGCTCTAATAGTGAAAATGTCGACAATCACCTGTGCGATCATCGATTTTTTTATGCATTCCACGCGCATCTGTGTCAGTTCCAAGCAATGCGTTCCAATTTGGGACGACTCGGGCTCATACACCAGAAGAAGGTCTATGGGCTATCCTTTTTTTTTTTTTTTTTTTTTTTAGTAGCACATCAGTTGCATTTCGCCAATTTGGTCATGTGTAGGGCGAGAAATGCGTGTACAAAAGACGCATCGCTTGGAGAAGCGACGAAAATGACGAAAAAT